CCCAGTATCAGGCGGTGAAGACGATGTCACTTTAAGGATGTCTTCAACCTTGAATCCTAATTTAAAGCCGGTAGATGAGAGGGAAGAGCTACAGCATGACTGTCTGCGTGTCATGGAGCAAGTAGACTCTCACCAACCTGATCTGAATGATGGACCATTAACTGCTCCTGAAGCGGAACTTTTTACAGATGGAAGGAGCTTCATGGTGAATGGGGAACGCAAGGCAGGTTATGCCATGGGAACCCCACAAAAGGAAGCTGAAGCACGAGCATTGTCACCCAAGATCTCCACTCAAAAACCTCATCAGGCCGTCTGGAAAGAACAGAGACTATTGGTCACTCAGGGGGCTCCTATTAAATATGGATCAAAGGTTCTAAAACTGCTACAAGCTGTTCTAGAGCCGACAAGAGGTTGCAACTGTGCGTTGCAAAGCCCATCAGAACGGACGAACAGAAGCGGTGAGAGAAAATCGAAAGGTTGATGAAACATCCCAAAGACTTGCAGGGACAGGACGATTGATCGGAGCTTTGATCCCTTTGAGAAAAGTTCAGTGGGAACCTCCAAAATGTTCCAAAGAAGAGGAGCGACTTGCCAAACATTTAAAATGTACCAGATCAGAATAAGGTTGGAGGGTGACTAAAGATGGAGGAGTACTGAGAAATATCGAAAAAAAACCCAAAAAACCCCAACACAAAAAAACCACGCAATAGTGAATCTCAGGGGAGCAGTTGCTCTGGTTGCGAGCGTTAAAAGACACATTATAGGACAGAAATTGCAAAAATTAGTCAATATAATTGTGTGGCAGAGCCAGCAATGGGGTAAAAATAATCGAAAGAACTGGGAGAAGTTAAACGAGGTCAGACCGGCAGATAGATTTTTCTGAATTACCAAACTTTAATCAAGTATCTTTTGGTTTTGGTAGATACTTTTCCTGAGTGGCCTGAAGCCTTCCCGTGCTGTACCAACAAATCTAGAAAAGCCGTTAGGATTTGACTCTAAGAGGTAATTCCAAGATTTGGCGTCCCACAAGGGATGTCGTCAGACAACGGGCCTCATCTTCAACAGTACAACGCGTTGTTAAATTCCTACAAATTAAATATATACCTTTAGGTAGTCCAGTACATGACTTCCAACCAGGTGATAGAGTCTGGGTCTGGACCTGGAAGGATGAGCCCTTAAAAGAATGAGGGAAAAGGCCTTACCCGATGCTCCCGGTTACTGATACCGCTCTTAAAGTAGACGGGGTTGACTCTTGGATACACGTTCCAGAGCGAAGGCGGCTCCGGAGGAAGGGTGGGTGTCAGAGAAAATCCAACCGTTGAAGCCAAATATTTCAGGACTCCAATGAACTGTAGCTGGGAATCCCTTAAGTCAGACTCGGATTTAGACTGCATTCAAGGACTGACTTCTCTGGTTTGCATGTTATTCGTGGTATGGATTTCTTTTGGGAGAGATAAGCTTAAGAAATATCTAACGAGAACAAAGCGGGATTAGTTTGGGGGCTGCAGTATTGCCATATAATTGTGTTCACGTGCCTTCATGCACTCACCCAGTGTACGCCGGAGACGCGGCTTAGGTGGGGGTGAACAAACTGTGGGAAAGGTGAGGCTTAGCAAGAGGGATTTAAGTTCTCTAGGTAGTGTCAAAGGGGGAAATTGTGGCCCGTGCAAATATTTACCGCCGATCGCTGGCTCTGTTGTGTGAGCCTGACACTTTGTGGCTCTATTGGGTAAGCCTGATACGATCGAGGCCTCCATCTAGGCCTTGATCTAGGCCTCCATCTAGTCCTTGACCTAGGCCTCCATCTAGGCCTTGACCTAGGTCTCCATCTAGGCCTTGATCTAGGCCTCGACCTAGGCCTCCATCTAGGCCTTGATCTAGGTCTCCATCTAGGCCTTGATCTAGGCCTCCATCTAGGCCTCCATCTAGGCCTCCAACTAGGCCTTCACCTAGGCCTCCATCTAGGCCTCCATCTAGGCCTCGCTAAGGACTTCACCACCAAGGAGAAGCGAAGAGCCTGATCAGAGGGGCACGTCCCCCCCAGAAGAAAGCCCAAGGCGGGATGATCGCCCAAGAAGCATGAAGTCAGCAACGACCTGCGGTAAAGGGGAGAGGCAAAGGCGGTGGGGCGAGAGCCAGAGCACCAGCTCGACCCAAGGATGAAAACACTCACTCCCCCACCCCCGTAAGGAGCAGGGGGGGCAATTTACACAGCAAGCCCCGGCTTAATTAACCGACAGCAGATGGAATGGTAACCACGGCCCAAGGAGTGTAAACTGAGGGAGGTTTTTACTGCTCGTGTACCGAGATAAATCGGCCGTAGCTCCGTTGGGCAGCGTGCCAGCGCCGGGGGATCACCCCCTAGCACCCGCCCCGGCGCAACAACGGGATAAGCTGATCTCTCGTCTCTGTGTGTGCCGTTGGCTTTTGCACAGCAGGTAACGATCCCGGTTTGAGGGACAACAGCCCCTCCTGCTCCCGGCAGGCCTGCAGCAGCCTGGGCCCTGCGGGAGCTGCCAGCCCCTGCCTGTGCCCGGCCTGTGGGGAAGGAGTAGGGAAGGAGATGGAGGTGCAAGTGCACAGGTACCAACAGCCTGGTCTGTGTGTGTGTGTGTGTCCTTTCTTCCTCCTCATGCTTGTCTTCCATCCCTCTACTTCCTCAGCCAACACAACTCCCCTAACTCGACCCTTCCTTCATTCTTGATCTTCCTCTATTCTTCCCCCTTCTGCACCCTGGACCAGCATCGAAACTTGCTCACCACTTTCACCCCCCAAAAGCTCCTCACACCCCTGGAATGGGCCGGGGATGGAGCTGGGGCAGGTTGGGATAGGGCAGGGTTGGGCTCTTGGCTGCTCCCACCCTCTGGGGGTGAACCTGTCAGGAGGAAAAAAAGAGAAAACACGTAGCTGGAGGTAAAAATAGTTCCAGAGCAGAACCAGGAGGAAACAGGAGGAGGGCAACACTCGGTTCTGCCCATAGGGAGATGGATGCCCAGGCAGTTCCTGACCAAAATCTGGCCAACACCCACCACAAGCTCCCTCCTCTCCCTTTTATAACTGGAGTTATAAATAGTCATGGAATTAACCACCCACTAAGGACTCACCATTGTGGACAGCTAACTGATGCCTCCAGAGATGATAACTCTGCCAGAAGCTCTCACAGTGGGAGCAGACGTACGGTCTCTCTCCTGTGTGGCTGCGCTGGTGTTTGATGAGGTCTGAGCTAAAGAAGAAGTATTTCCCGCATGTTGTACAAAGAAAGGGCTTGTCCTTGGTGTGTGTCCTCCGGTGACACAGGAGTCTCCCACTCTCCGTGAAGCTCTTCCCACAATCCCAGCACTTGTAGGGCTTCTCCCCTGTGTGGAACCGTCGGTGATGGGTCAGGTGGCTCCTGCGGGTGAAGACCTTCCAACAGTCCACACACCTGTACTCCTTCAGTCTGGAACTACTCTGTGGTTGGGTTGTGGCTTCCTGAGTCTTTTCACCACCCGTCCCTCTGAAAGAGCATTTTTGGGGTTCCCTCGTACCGTGGCTCCCTTGCGTATCACGGGGCTGCTGTTGGCCATCGTGCTCCACGGCCACCGTGGGGCTCTGGGGCTCATCTTGGGGCCCTTGCAGCATCCCCCTCTGCTCTTCCCTGGGCTGGCACTGCTCCTCCTTCTGCTCCTCTGTCCCAGCGCCTGTGGGGGGCCAAAGGGGCTCAGCTGGGGGCTCTTAAGGCACATGAAGAGCACCCACCTCCTGCATGGCTCTGCCTGCTCGGCTCCCTCCCTTCCATTCTCCTCCTCCTCACACCCCCAGGGCCGTGCGCCTTAGCACCCGGTTGGGCTTCGAACCCTGAGGGCACCTGAGTCCCACCCAGATGCTCCATCACCCCTTCCCCAACAGGGATGGGGAGGAAAAATTAAGCCAGGGGGGATCCAGACAATGATGTGTGGGTGGGACGACTCCCCCATTATGGCCTTGAGCACCAGAGAGACTCCACCGGGGAGGAAGAAAGAACAGCACTGGAATTTGAACCCCCCACCCGCGAGGTACCGATCCGGCAGAGCAGGACAGTGAGAAATACAACCACAGCTTCCAAGCCCTTCCCCCAGCCCTCCTGCCCGGGCTCAGCTTTGCTCCCCATTTCTCTCCCTGCTCCCCCCCCGGCGCAGGGGCAGGGATGGGGCTTGGGGTCACTCCATCACCCGTTGTCTCTGCCGCTCCTTCCTCCTCAGGGGGAGGACTCCTCACACTCCTCCCCTGCTCCGCCGGGGGCTCCCTCCCACGGGAGACAGTCCTCCACGATCTTCCTCCCACCTGGGTCCCTCCCAGGGGCTCTGGGGGGGCATCTGCTCCCCCGTGGGGCTCCACGGGTGCAGGGCAGTCTCTGCTCAGAGCTCCT